ATGGAATTAAATTTAAAAAAAAACATCGAAATAAGATTTTCTAAAAGAACCAATAGAAAATGTGTCGCATGTGTCGCAAAACGCGACACATGCGACACATTTTTATTTAGTGTGTACGGATGAATATCATTAAGATCACGTTGTTGACTAGCAGACCAATAAATATCCACTATACGTACTGGCTCTGAAAGGCCGGATATATCGATAACTACTGTATTGGGTATGTCGACTTCAATACGAGTTGCTTTCAAATATTTTCCTACTGCTATGCACACTCCACCACTTCGATTAGTACCCTTTTGATAAAACGTGTTAAAATGTGGTGTTCGACTTGTATTCTGTCATTCTCCTACTTCTGTAAAAATACAAACGGACGTTTGAACTTTAAATACTCAATCTATCATCTCAGTTGTCCTTGTGTTTCACCCTTGAACATTAAAACATACGGGCTTAAAGGTTTCTTTTTGACTACTGGAAGGCTTTATTTAATATTTTCCCACTATCGTAAAACTGTATTCAAGATTATACGTGTGCACCATTCGTTTAAACGAATAAATTCAAAATGATTGAGTAAATCAAACGACTCTAACTTTTTATCAAGGAGTCACGGACATGAATGATCTTAGAATTTTCTTAGTTCCGTCGAACCTCACTGATGGGTAAGATATCACCTCAAAAACAATACATCAGTTGGGATACCTCTCCCGTCAGTGAGAAATTGAGACAATTGTACAGACATCTCAAATGCATAACAAAAGAACATCTTGATAGAGATATGAGACTCGTTAAATATCTATTTCGACTATTGATTAAAGCAGGCTAATAGAAAACATCAAACAGTTACAATCAGTGATAGATTGCCTATACTTTTCCAAGCAAAACAACGGCTGACATCCAATGCAAAAGTGTCTGGTCTATCTAACTATACAAGGAAGTTAAGCCATTCGATTTCTTGAGTGATGGGAGCTCATAACACATATCACTGATGCCAGTTTTCAAACAAGACCCATCTAACGGGTGTTCCAGAAGAAATGACCCTTTAAGTATTTTTAAGATTTCTCCTCTATTAACCCTGTGATTAAAGCTCTTTTTGTAATCAAAAGATAGTGCTTGAAATTCTCTACAAATCCATGTATGACTAGGTCCCAGAACAGTTCTAGATGTATTAGAAAAAAGAGGAAAACTAAAAACATACAAGCAGTTGTAAAAAGTAAATGATGGGTGTCTCATAATAAATGGCCGCACTTTGTATTTCATATTTTAATCTTTAAATACGTTTTATTAAAAAAACAAAATATACCACAAGATGCAGCGTGAAAAGCTCAACATATACATACTTTTTATGTTCAAAAAACCTCCAAGTTCTGCGCGACCGATTTTCGCAACAGCGAAAATTGGCTACACAGAATTTTGCTTTTTTTTGAAAACAAAAAGTATACAATTGTAGAACTTTTCACGCTGCATCTTGTGGTATATTTTGTTTTTTTTTTAATAAAACACGTTTAGAAATGAAAATATGAAACGCAAAGTGCGACCATTTATTATGAGCGACATATTTAATTTTTACAATTGCTTGATGTCTTTAGTTTTCGTCTTTTTTCAAATATAATTAAAACTGTTCTTGGGCCTAGTTATATATGGGTTTGCAGAGAATTTCAAGCGCTATCTTTTGATAATAAAAAGTGCTTTAATCACAGAGATAATAGAGTGATATCTTTAAAATACTGAGAAGGCCATTTTTTCTGGAACAACCATTATTATTTAGCTCAGATGATTGATCAATCCAAATCAAATCTAATTCTATTGCACAAATACAATTTACATTTACGAACGTACAACTATCAACTTCGCCAAGCACTTTCGTTTGTTTCTTCTCATTAGCATGAACTACTGAATTCAAAATATATTCAAAACGAATTGATGCACATATTCAAAGACAACTAGAATTAGAGATAAAAAAAAGCTGAATTCACTTCAGCATTGGCGCACATTGATGATCAGTTCACCGGAAAAATTCGATGACGTATCTGAATTGTTTTTCATCAAGAAGAAACTTGTTGTAAAATCAGATGAACTCATTCATTTCTAGAGAATCTTTCATGAAAAAGAAATACTATCAACATTTGAGTCAAGTTTATACACAACATCAGGCACTTGTTTATCGAGAAAATATGCGCACTAGAACAAAAAACAAATATGAATTAGTTCAAGATAAACTTGAAATTGATTTTAATTCGGTGATAGAGTCGATCGACAGGATTTTTACTGCTGAGATTATTTACGTCGTCAACTTGCAATCTTCATCTGAGAAAATCAACTTTTCTAGGTTCTAACAGTTTTTACAAAGTAGGAAGTGGTCCTTCATGCAACTGGCGTATTCTTCCGATTTCTATAGATCTCTGTTGACATTAACACTATCAATCTAGACATCAAGTGAGCGTTTAGAAAGAATTACTTCAAATTTAACGCTAAGCGTAAGTTTTTGACGCATTAAACTGCCAGACATGAAGCGAAAGAAAAGAGAATGGCCAGTAGGTATTTGATGATGTTGTCAGTTACGGATGAACAGTCTCAAAAATATTAACTCAACTTGAACTATATGCATATACATCTAGAAAAATGCCTACAGACAGAATAGAAGGATGTCAATGAAAGACACATGACTCTTCCAACGTACACACTCGACATCTGATGGTAGAAGATTGCAGTGGTGCAAGCTGCTTATCATTCATGATTCATCAGTGATGTTTGTGACCTATAGTTGGAAAAAACCCCATTCACTTGCCTCAGAAGTCATTTCTCTTCGTTAGACAATAAAATGGCGGAGCAAATTCGAGCATTCGAAATCCAAGCTATCAATCGACGTTTTGTACCGTTTGATTCAGGTATTCTCTAGACTGAAAGTATAAGACTCCGAAGCGGGAAATAAATAATTTTTGTCTATGTGACCATATTTCTGTAGGAAACACGTTCTAAAACCACTGTCTGTCTCATATTGTGTGTTTTTTTTGTTTAAAACTGCTCAGATCCGTCAAAAGCAAATTTTTTTCTTATGGCTTTATTGATCCCTTCTGCGGCTCTTTGTGTCTAGAATCTTGCACGGCAGAAGTAACTTGCCTGTCCTGCATTGCTCAGCCAGGGCAGGACAGAGCAGGTTACAAAAGTAGCAGAGCAGTTTAGGATCAGGTTATGCAAGTTTTTGCAGAGCAGAATGCATGGGTGTTAACCTGGATTCTAACCTCCACCCTCCTGCCTCTCATCGTGGCAAAGTCGATCGGTATATCAAGACACAATTTCCATTGTCAAAAGGTGGCACGTTGTTAGGCAGATGGAAAAAGGATTCTTTGATTTTTTCAAAGTTAGCCTTATTAGCAAAGTCGTTGTTCGGTGTGCCTGCAAGTTCAGTCGCGTTCGAATATGTGTTCAGTTCGTCAGGCACAGTATTAGAGAAACGAAGACTATCGCTCAATCTCGATGTTATTGACGGTATTTTGATGATCAGAAATTTTTGTAATATGTGATTTTTTTTTTGTGGTTACTTTTGGATCGAAATAAATAAAACTGCACAAATAAGCTGACATCATAAGTGGGAGAATGAGTTTTTTTTTCAGTATAAAGTGGAGCAGGGCAGGTTACAGGTTATGAAAGAAAGTCACAGGGTAGGACAGGACAGTGTAGGAGAAAAAAATTGCAGAGTAGGGCCAGGTTATGGAAACTTTTAAAGGACAGGTTACAGGTTGCCAAAATGCCTTGCCCTACAGAGCTGTATTCATGTCACTGTATTATGCTTCAGAAGTCTGTCTGATGCAGCTGGTATATCATTTGACTCAAATGACGCCCTGCTAGATTTATTTGAACATTATTTGATTGAATCAGTTAATGCGAGTGGTCTAAGAAATATCAACTCTTTTCCTATGAGTGACAACAAATATAGCGATATTTGCCAATCGTTTTTGATTCAATAGTGGAGAACAAGCTTGATAATATTTCGATTAATCAGAAAGACGCAAAGAAGAGGTTACTCAGACAGAAAACAAAATTTTGTGAAATACGATTGGTAATGAGTGTTGAAGTACACAGCCACGTAGTTGGAGTACATACTCCCTCGCAAACTGTGACAGAGATGTCGTCATCCTGCTCCATGGACATTTTCACAGATTTTGATTGACATACGGAGGGTCGTTGTGTATCACTACAGCGGGTGCATCGTTTTTCACATTTTAATCCCATAGGGATTGCGCTAAAACCTTTTTTTAAAGAGAAAAGTGGACTTTTACATTTTTGGATTGTATATGAACTTTCGGATATTTTTAGAATCTTAAGTGAATTTCTGGATTTTTACATACTTTTTAATTTTGGACTCTGACACTTTTGGACTCGTTGTCGACTATCAGAAGTTTTGATTTTTCGAATTTACAATGGACTTGAAATTTCAACATCTCAAAAAAGGTTTTTCCTTCAAGAACAATTCTACCATTGGATCGAAGCATCAGTTCGCTTAGAACCTGTAGGATTATCTAAACACAGAATTTTTCTTATATTCTGTCACGGTTCGCTGATACAAAATGAGTCTGGACATATGTCAATAAAGAAAACCATGAAATACGAGTTTGTTGTATCTAGAGAGTCGACACGTTGCTCATTTGATAGAAAATCCCAATGTCTATGACATACTTCAGAGCGATTCAACGATAGTTATCTTTGATCTGGTGGAAGAAATATGGCATCTTACCATTCTTTCTTTGATCCACAGTAATTAAAATTCGTCTGCTTATTGATGCAAAGATCGCGTTGTTACTGGTTGACACAGTTTGCCCATAAAGTGATCAGAATGTGCTGCCATTGACCCAGGCGTGTCCCGATCTTCTAAGGCTCATATCAACAAATTATTGAAAGAATTTGGGCTATGAATAATTATGAGCTGTTCAAGCAGCCTTCCAGTTTTATTTTTTTATAGTATCCTCGGAAGTTCAGTCTAGGTTTGAGTGAATCGAAATCCGATGAATATTACTGCTGAATTTTCGGCAGTGGAAAATCTCATTGCTCATTTTCAAAACCTCTTCTTAGAGAAAGAAAAGCAATGGCATGGTCCATTCTTCTTTGCACAAGGTGCCGATTGCCAGCCGGGACTTACCTATCGATGGACAGGAACAGAAGCTCTACCAATTACTTCTGATATGCCAATCACGTAATTAATGCTAATCACTCAGATCCGTTGATTTCTTATTAATTGTTCATAGATGGGATGTTGAAATTGCTTCTACACGTGCGGTCATTGAAAAAATCAATCGCATGGAACCTAAACCAAGATTTTTTATTATTTGTGGTGATATTGTCGACGCTTTTCCTAGTAAGACAATGATACTTCATAATTCTCCTCAATTGTTTTCTGTTTGACAGATGAAGACCCATTCCGATCGAAACAAGAAGCCGATATCAAACAAGTATTTAGCGAACTCGGTGAATATATATGCTCTAATTGTCTCTCATTTTTGTTTGACGTAAAAAATAATTAGATCCTTCGATACCTTTGGTATGCGTCAGTGGCAATCATGATGTCGGAAATCAACCGACTCGAGATAGTATTCAACGATATATTGATCATTTTGGTGATGATTATTTTGATTTCTATTGTGGTAGTGTTCATTGTATTGTAATTAATTCTCAATTCTATGTTCATTCGGCTAATGTCGAAGATTTAAAACGAGAACATGAAGAATGGCTTGATCGTGTTCTTAGTGATAAACAGTCAACAGTAAAGCATACAATTATTTTCCAACATATACCTTGGTTTTTGAATTATCCAGATCAGAAAAAGGATTATTTCAATATGGAAATCGAGACACAAACCAAGATCCTTGAGAAGTTTCACGCTGCAGGTAAAAGAGAGAGAAAGTTTGAATATTCACTATCATTTTTCATCTTCTTTCAAGGTGTAAAGAAAATTTTTTGCGGTCACTATCATCGTAATGCACGCGGTTCGTACAAATCAATGGAACAAATCGTGACTAGTGCAATTGGTCTTCAACTAGGCAAGGATAAAGCGGGTATTCGTCTGGTACGTGTTACAAAAGATGAGGTACAGGATCAATACTTTCCGACGGATGAACTTCCAACCAACTTTTAGTGATGTTAATTGTACTGAAAGAGTCATTTTTTCCTTGTTACAAATAAAATCGAGAGAAAAAGCTTGTCAACACAGCTCCTTTGGAGTCAAAATGTGGAACTCACATATCTTCTTCAAGTTGATTATGTTAATATAAAATACATAAAGTGAA